ATGACAGTTTGGTGACAGTTCGATGACAGTTCAGTGATACTTCGTACATTATTTAAAATCTTTCTTGTATATATAATATATATATGCACTATATATATGTAATATATATATGTGTATATATGTAATTTATATATGTATCACATCTCACCATATTAAGAGAAATCATATAGATACAAGAGACACAAATAACAAAATCAACAAATGGTCAAAACTGAAAAAAAAGATCAGGTAATTTGCTTTTCGAGCATAGCTAAAGCATAGATAACAAAATAAAATTTGGTTAGAAACTTGTCTGGTACGTAAAATGTGTATATGTTTTCATAATAAACAAATAAGGATGATAAATAAAATTGTAAATTATCTAAATGAGTTAAATATTTTAAAACTAATTATTAAGTTACAATAAAATACTTTGTTATAACAATAATATTTTGCACAGTGTATATTTTACAAAATATTTCTTGTTTCATAAATTTTAATATTAATTACAAATTATTATTGTTTTGACATTAATTTTAATAAACCTTTATATAACTAAAATATTTTATTTTATATATATATTTTTATTAATTAAAGACATAAATATCATATTTTAATGTATTTTTAAAAGATTAATGTATCATGTTTTGATATTTGTATATTATGACTTAAAATTACATTTAATATATTATATATTTTGAAGATTATAAAATTACTTCAAATCAAAATTAAGTTAAAAAAATTAAATATACGGTTCAATTGTATTAAGTTAATTACAAAAAGATATTTAATATTTTGGTGGTAAATATTTAGATTAACGTACCCACCTCCAATGACTTTGACCTTGACATATGTTGTCAAGGTCACTGTCCTGAGTAACATCCAAGAGATTTTAGCCGTCGCTCGTTGTTCGTTAAAAAGTTATTAACAAAAAAAGTTTGAGAAATATAGCAGTTATTTTAAGTATTCAAATGTGGAAATAGTACATGTATAAACAAAGAAAAGTTATTTAAAGGAGTAAATCCTTGATATATTGAAGAGTCTTTTTGTTAAAACAGAAAATAGTTGTTTCGATCCAAAACAAAATTTGTAATTGTTCTGTTCCACATGGGTTTTCGTCTTTCCACACGAAACAAGGTCTATCCCACACCCCCTTTCCTCCGTCTTTTGGCTTGAAACAAGCCGAAAGTATATGCGCTGCAAAGTATATGCGTGGACACAGTAGATTCCCCTTCCCCTTACGGGGAGGCTCCACTTCCGAAAAATATAACCTAACCCAAACCTATTTCTAATTTAAAATTAAAATTTGGTTTGGATTAGGTTATATCTTTTGGAAGTGGAGCCCCCCCGAGGGGGCGAAACCCACTGCGTCCACGCATACACTTTCCAATCCACACAAGAATTGTGGGATAGATCTCGCTTCGCGTAGAAAGTTGAAAACCCATATGAAATCATTTTATGTTAAGAATAATCATTGTACTTTCAAGTAAAAGAAAATTAGAAGTGGCGTTTATATAATAAGTATTTTTTATTCTAAACAATATAAATATTTATTCACTTTCATTAATTCTATTGTTTACTAGTGGATATAATTTTGACATAATTGTAAAAAATTGATCTATTTTCTCAGAATAATTATAAATACGTTTAAACATAAATTCTGCTATGTAGTAGTTATAATGTTTTTCATCTCTGGTTCCATAACGAGGTATTCCACCTCGCATATCCCGCCATAAACGTTTAATATTTTGTGTATGAACTCCAGTAATTGGATGTACAAAATTTTCTGAGTGATTAACCGTAAAATGATTAAATCCCTCATTTTTTAAATTGGGATATGCACGCCAGCAATCGCTATAAATTGTTGTTCCTGAGGCAATGCGACGACGTATTATATTTAACAGTGTTAATTCAGAACGATCATTAACAGGCACAATAAATGTGCGTTTACTTTCACATTCAAATGCATCAAATACCCATTGTCCTTTAACAATTCGACCGCGATTATATTTTCGTTTGCCAACTTTTGCTTCATCAATTTCTAGAATGCAGCCATGGCCACCAATCATACTTTCTTCTTGATTCAACCACATTAACAAGAGTAACACAAAGACTGGCAATAATAGACAAGTGAAAGCTTCTAGTAAACAATAATAAACATTGAGAAGTCCTAAAGTAGGTCAACATACAAACTCACTATTCTTATATACACGTTGTTTGAAAATTACGTACATTTCATTTAAATTCTTTTGTTAATAACTATTTAATAAACAACGAGCGACGGCTAAAACCTCTTGGATGTTACTCAGGACCTTGACAACATATGTCAAGGTCAAAGTCATTGGAGGTGGGTATGTTAATCTAAATATTTACCAATAATATTTGTAATTTAGTAATAATATACAATATTAAACATTTGTATATATTTCATTATTACAAAAAATCTGGATAAACCAAATTTCAAACATTTCCTACGTATTTATATGCATACGTCATATCTCAATATTAAGAAATTTATATATTAAGAATATTAAGAAATATCATGTAAATAAGAGACATAAATAACAAAATCAGCAGTCAACATTTTATAAAAATTATAAAAGATCATGCAATTTGCTTTTCAAGCATAGCCGTAGATAATAAAATAAAATTTGATTCGAAACTTATATCTGGTACGTAAAATGTGTACGTAAACTTTTCTTTATAAATTGAAAAAATAAGGTTTATTACGATTTTTTTAGCGGAGTTACAGCGTATCAAAGTTACCTATTTTGTTCATCAAAGTTACATATTTTGGTTCAATTATAATCAACATTAGCATTGTGTCAATGCTAATGCTGACGGTAATTGAACAAAAATGTATGAATAACTTTGATACGCCGTAACTCTGCGAAAAAAATTGTAGGGTAGAGCAAGGTCAAAAGTAACAATTTGACTTTAGAACTTGATTGTGGAAGAACTATTATAACAAAAAAAAAATTTTTGATACCTCAAGCTAACGTATTCATTTCTTCTTATCGAAATCATAACATTTAAGCCTTGTGATAAATAAAATCAAAATTATCAATCAAAAATGAAAACAAAAAGAAATGTTAAAATTGTCCCCTATTTCGGGTTGATTGTAACACTATAGGGGGTCAATAGTAAAAAAAACTTTTTTCCTTTCCTTTTTATATCCTGCCAAAGACATGTGACACAACTCATATTTCTTTACAGCTACTCGAATAGACAATATCTCTTTATTTATATCCTCGTATACCTGTTCATGGACTGATATATCTTTTATATCCCTGTCAGTCTTTCTATCTTGGTATGAGGCATTCTAAAATAAAAATAGTTTAATTATGATCCAAAATGAAATAAACATCAGCCGGGGTCGGTTATAACGTTACATTCAACCTCAGACAATGATATTACAATGGTCCCTGATTATGTTTTTGAACTTCGATTTAAAATTTTTAATGATAAAATGTCAAAAATGGATAAGCAATAATCATTATAATATGCAAAAATAACTGAACTCAAATATAAATAAAAGATGAAGTATTTACTTGTAGTGGAAATATTTATATTAAAAGTTTGACAAGCTCGGAAAAAAATACTTTATGGCCTCGAAAATATATTATGGTCACTGCATACATCCACTCAGTACCTAGGCCGCAGACGTACTGAAACATGTTGTACCTTGTTTAGCTTCATGAGATAACCAACACATGCGTACGTATCTGCTATACAGGGTGTCCTAAAACTACCGTATCTCCTCTTAATGGCAGATTCCTTAGAGCGTTTCAAGACGAAAATCCTAATACAAAAATGTCGAGGCTATAATAGTTTTTAAACGGAAAGCAATTATATTTTATAAATGACAAGGCTGAGATCTTGCGCGCTCAGGCACGGCTAAATGACAAGTGAAAAAAGTGCTTCTATGAATGGAGCGCCTTTTTTATGATATTATGATTATCGTATAAATTTACAATAACATTGTCATTATATGTTTTCTCGCTTCTCTACGCATTGCATTATTACATTCTTTTTACGAATAATGGATGCAAAAACTAATTTTAAAAATGATTCAAGTAAAAATTTGCTACATATTTCAACTTCAGCTGTCAAAGTGGTCGATCAATGTTACCATGAAAGTGTCTACTATTTCGCCGTGCCTGAGCGCGCGAAATCTCAGCCCTGTCATTCGTAAAATATAATCGCTTCCCGTTTAAAAGCTATTATAGCCTCGACATTTTTGTATTAGTATTTTTGTCTTGAAATGTTCTAAGAAATCTGCCATTAAGAGAAGATACGGTAGTTTTAGGATACCCTGTATAGTGTGACGTTGCCGTCTCGCGCGCGTCCGCCGGATCCCTTTCCGATGGCAAAGCGCAGGCTGAAGGGCCGCGCCAATCAAAAAATTGCGAGAACCGTACCGCAGTCTCTAGAGAGGCCTTATTAATAAAGATTCTGTTCATTATATTAATTTTGTTTGTTATTTTTCTTTGTATGAATATTTATTTTGAGAGCCTTATCGGAGGAGAAGGCAGGAGACCGTTTTTGGTCGACGACAAGAACCAGCTATCGACGATCTCGAGCGACCTTCAGGGGAAGATGAGCCGGTACTTCAGTCCTTAAAACAACTAACGTCAAACCTTTCGGCACGATCAGGATCTGCGCGCGTGATGCGTGATGCACGGGACAGCGAGTGGATCCTCGCGCAAGGACTCAGGACTCAGGACCGTGCAGAGCCGTTTCCCTTGGAGGCACTGCAGAAACGCTGCCGCTGTAGGGCACAGCGCGCCGGAAAAGACAGCAGCGAAAATCGCAACAACACTTTCGGTTCAAACATCCTACTTGGACTCCATGACCCCGCTGAGCGGGCCCCAACAAGTTATCGTTATCGATACCGGGGGCGCGCGCACCTCCGATACGATCTCGGTACTGAGCGCGCCGCCTGCCGCCCACAGCGCGTGGTAACCCGTGATTGGACGCGATAATACGCACCCCATGTGCGCAGCACCGGCTGGCCCCGCGGTATCGATTCTAGATCACGAGAATCTCGGGGACAGACTGGCGCGGGTGTTCATAAAGCTCAGACGGTTTTTCGTGAGCTAGCGAGAGAGCGACCGATCGTACGTCGTTGCGAGCGGGAGGGACCCTGAGAACTGTTACGAAAGAGAGAGCCGGGACCAAAGGACAAGGCCAGCCCTTTGCTACACCATCGGGAGGACAGTGCCGGTGAGGTTACCTACACTTAATTGAGCCACGCGCGATCGCGCCCGGGATTGCGTTCTGTCATCGTGGACGTGAATTAGTATTTTCACGTACGGGCTATGCTCCGTTCTTCGGTGTAATTTTCGCGTCACGTCAGCCACGTCGTCAAACGATTCGAGCCCTGGAGCTTTTAGAATAACAATTTCCGCAGATTAAGATATTGACATCGCGTTTAATAAACCGGATATCGTCTCTCTGGAGACCCGGATTCCGTATATTGTGTATGCGTTGGTTTTCACATGTTTAGAGAGTCTCGTTCGTACCGTATGCCTGTCGTCTGAGTGTGAGTGTCGATCGCGTAAAGTACATCTCGTCTTCTTTGTTTGTTAATCGTCGCGTCTGGAAATTGTGTGCGCGTTTTGTAAGAGCTTCTCTCGCGATTATCGTACGGATTGCGTGAATGTGCATTGAACGTCGTGTATGCTTTTCACGTTTGTCTAGAAATAAAGAATGTGCGTATTTCGCGAACTGCATGTTAGAAATAAGTTACGTAATAATAATTAAGTAATAATAGCGAGCGATGCGGTCGCCTCTAAGTGATTCATATCGAGATTCTGAACGGGCTATCGCCCGGATTGAAATGGAAGCGCATTAATTGTCATGTCCGCGGTGCGAGGCGTATTCAACGCCGAGAGGGAATGCAACCGGTTTAACGGGCCGACATCAGCGTAAGTCTACTAGGGTTTCGCGCCCCGTGTCTAACATCCAGTCTCGCGCCCGTGTCTTTATCGCAGCCGAATATCTGCACGATCTTTATTATTATTACTCTCGAAGAGCCTCGGCTCTGTTTATTATAATAAACTTGTTATTTTCTCTGTTCCATTTAACGTCTTTACTTTCAGTTTATGTTTGTCGCTCCCGTGTTTGTCGTTTCTTGCTTAATAATCGCGTTAATCCAACACTCGCCCTCTCTATTGTTAAGCGAGCTAGCTAGTCCGGCGGATTTCGATATATCTCGCGTTCGGAATAATCTTGTTGCGCGTTGCGGATTGATACGTGAGAGACCGTATCTGGCGCTCAATTTTTGATTTCCATGTTATATCTAGGTTTCCATCACGGCACACGTGAAATTCTTAATATCCCGTTCCTACCCGCGTTATCTTTCCTGGATTATTCCCTTTTTTTACAACGACGTTCCGGCATTTTCCGTTCGTCGGCGCAACATTCATCCGCGGGACGGAGAAATCAAGACGGCGAGCGCGCTTATCGTTCGACCGCGGTAAAAAGTCGCAATATCTATATCTTTCGCCCCCTGTTATTTTCGCTTTACTCTACGTGTGGAAATTTCGACTCGGATGTCTAGATGCGAGTCAGTTTTTTTAGACACTATCTAGTGCCAACTGAGGAAACTCAGCTAGCACTTAGGTCTATGTGTAACTTTTGTGAAATTTAGCCTCTAGAGATGTAAAATTATCCAACCGATAGTATTTTTCGCCGCCTCCCGGATATTGGCTAGGCGGGCTAACCTGCCACTTAAGTAGTGCCATATATTCCAGGAAATGCGAAATGATAAATTCAGGATTATTATTATTTTAAAAAATATTTATTATTTTCCTTGCCTTTATAGCTAATAAAAGCCCACATAAATTAACATTTTCATATTCAATAATCTTAAATTATTTTTCAGCCGTTTTTTATCTTTGGCATGTTTATCTATATAATAAAAGAAAAATATTATAGTTTTTTTACTGGTGAAATGTTTTTACTGGTGTTTATTTATTGCTTATATTTGTAGAAATTCTTTTCGCTAATCGAGGATCGAACTCGAGTTATTCCCCAATCCTTGACGTTAGAAAGAACGGCTCCTAGATGAGTCAAGTATTTCATCAGATTTTTTTGATATTAGCTGGTTCTCGGACTTTTCGTCAATGACTTCTGCAATTTTGAAACAAAATAATAATTATTTAATTATATTTTAGTTTGTATATTTATTAGTTTTATTTATTTTATGTCACAGCAAACAATTTGAAACCGCTGTGTCCTTGAAAACAAATTTACCTTTTATTCTTTTTAGTGCATTAAACAATAAGGCTACGTCACGAGATAAATATCTTTCCAGAGAAACGGTGATATTTTTTGTAATAGATTTTATTTCGTCGAACTTTCGCGACAACGCTTGCACCTAAAAATAAAACCACAAGCCGCTATAGATATCATATCCATTAAAATAACCTCACATCTTAATACTTACGAAAACTGTTAGGTATTCTTTATCTCCTGAAAGTCTCCTATTAAATGTTACAAATTGTTCGTACGTCGGAATTGGGAGCTGAATTTTATATTTTCTTTCAAATGATTCGTTTGTATATTTTGATTATACAGCATCAGTTGCTAATATGTAATCCAGAGTTTCTTGCATCTTATTTATTGCCATGGTTGTTTGTCGTTGTTCAAATCTAAGATTTCTCAGCTCAATCACGATTAACTTCATATCTATAATTACAATTTAATTAAGGGAATATGAATGGTTGAGTCCTTTGATACTAAAATTTAAGAGAAGATAAATATTAAATTACCACCATATTCTGCAAGACTATTGACCACATGTAACTTTTGGACCGCATTTTTGTTTAGTGGCATTACAAGTTTCGGATACTTCGTATTAATTTTTTGCATCGGTGTATTTGCTGAATCGGTTCCGGAAGATCTAAAGTATAAAGGAAAATACGTAATAATATACGGTAAATGTTCAGATTAACTTACATCTTACGGATCGTTTTCATTTTCACATATATTATAGAGGACACATTTCTAAGTAATACGCACTTTGAATTTTGTGGCGCTCTCTTCTGGTTCCAGAGATATGCAATTTTAAAGTTTCACAGTTTTAATGCTTTTTCTGTTATAAAATAAGAAAAAATAAAGTTTGTTCATGTTGTATTTGTGTAAAGCAGATGTGGAAAAAGTATTTGTTTATATTTCCGGGAACGAAGCTCCTTGAATTTTTCCATTTTCCACGCGAAGCGAGGTTCAACGCAAACTTATGTGTCTAGTTTTTTAATAGTGGAGCCTCAGGGGGGACGGAACATACTGTCTCCACGCATATACTTTTTAATGCATAAATATAAAGTGGAAAGATGTAAATATAAAACTCTCAAAAAATTATAAAATTGCAGATAAACCCATGTGAAACCTTACTTCGCATTAAAAAGTATATGCGTAGAGACAGTATGTTCCGCCCCCCCCCTGCGGGCGGGCTCCACTATCAAAAAACTAGATACATAGGTTTGCGTTGAACCTCGCTTTGCATGGGGTAGCAATTGTGAAAAAGTGTACAATTCTGAAGCGTACTAGCAGTAACATAAAAACAACTCTAAATGTAAACAAAAGAAATTCTTAGCGAAAATATACTGACAGTGACGCAAATGTAAACAAAAAAACATAAACACGCAAGTAAGATATAGTGAAAAGATCATAGAAATAAATGCGAAAATTGTGTGAGTATTTATGAATTCCAACTCGTGTGGTACATTGTATGTTGGCGAAGATCTGTTTGGAAATGATTGGAGACGTTTTGGCGAGGATTTGATCGGAGATATTGACCTTGAGTGAATGTTCATCGAAGTTCTTTGCTTGACATCCAACTTCGTACGAAATTTCCCATCAAGCGATTCACAGTGCTTTGAATATTTTAATTGACCTTGCACTTTTGGTACAAATGTTTAAAAATATAAAAATGAAACACAAACATTGCATTATCATCTAGTAGCCATTTTAAAAATATGTATAGTAGGATACTCCATCATGCCCGCCTAGCAAATAACAAATATTTTTTCATATTAACCTGATTTTTGACTAGTTTCAAATTTAGATCTACGTGCAACATTCGCATCTTTAAGAGTACTCTCACTACTCTCATCTCTCGGATGAAGTTGAATAATTTGAGGATGATTTCTGAGATGCTACAAAAGATAAAAAATTGCAATAGGTGCATTATACTCGAGCAAAGATGAGCATGACTCATTAGTTTGAAAAAATCATTTTATTTATTTTGTTAATGAAATATTTATCATTAATTATTTTATTTAAATGTGATGTAGACTGTTTATTTCTGTATATATTTTGTATCCCTTAATGTAAAAGATTATTTTTCTTTTGTATTCCATACAAACATGTTGAAAAACAAATATAATAAAACATTAGTGACTGTTATTTTTTCCGGTTGTCGTTACAGTTACCTTTTATGAAAAATATCATTTGTATAATGGGGTATAAAACTAAGCATAGTTACAAATACTACGGATCACTTTAAAAATTGATCTTAAACTGTAAAAAAATAAGTATTTTTTCCATTAAGAGATGGAGACTCAAATTACTGGAATTCATTTGGAGAGTTGGCACAGCCATAACATTAAGAATTTCTTTTTTCTTTCTCTCAGCTTGATCAGCGAAAGATTTGGTAATTTTTTGAGCTATCTGTGAGGATTCGTCACATCCAGTCGTGTATTCCTCGACAGTTAGACATTCCAATCGCTATGCTGCCTCTTTATATGTTGCTACACAGATACATCATTTGAAATTGATAAATGCAAAAATATGGATCCTATAAAGTTTGAACTGAACACAAACTCAGTAAACTTTAGCTATTATATTCTCAATTTAGCCACAGTTGGTCAAAAGCTGACACTAGATCAAATGAAGTACATCTGCTTATGATGTGGTGTTTTGCTTATTACACAAAGATCAGAATCTTGTCAAATAAGTCAATCAATAAAATAGAGACAGCGAAGAAAAGAAACTTTCATGATTTGTCATAATGATTGTAATGATTTGTGATTGTTTGAGATGTATTTTTAAATCATTCTTTTATTTTCCGGTTAAATTGATATGACTTCAATATGAATTTAGTAAAATATTATGTGTATCTGCACTATTACGAATATTTGACCGAATATCGGGGTCAGCGAATTAATTATTGAATTATTGAAATATTGAAATAGAAATAGTGAGTTGATTATTGGATT